CTTTAATTTTTGTCAGTTTGATTACTGTGTGTCTCGGTGTGTTTCTCCTTGGGTTTATCCTGTCTGGGACTCTCTGCTCTTCCTGGACTTGGGTGGCTATTTCCTTTCCCATGTTAGGGAAGTTTTTGACTATAATCTCTTCAAATATTTTCTCAGGTCCTCTCTCTCTCTCTCTTTTCCTTCTGGGACCCCTGTAATGTGAATGTTGTTGCGTTTAATGTTGTCCCAAAGGTCTCAGGCTGTCTTCATTTCTTTTCATTCTTTTTTGTTTATTCTCTTCCGTGGCAATGAATTCCACCATTCTGTCTTCCAGGTCACTTATCCATTCTTCTGCCTCAGTTATTCTGCTATTGATTCCTTCTAGTTTTTTTTTCATTTCAGTTATTGTATTGTTCATCTCTGTTGGTTTGTTCTTTAATTCTTCTAGGTGTTTCTTCTTTAATTCTTCTAGGTCTTTGTTAAACATTTCTTGCATCTTCTCGATCTTTGCCTCCATTCTTTTTCCGAGGTCCTGGATCATCTTCACTATCATTATTCTGAATTTTTTTTCTGGAAGGTTACGTATCTCCACTTCATTTAGTTGTTTTTCTGGGGTTTTATCTTGTTCCTTCATCTGGTACAAAGTCCTGCCTTTTCATTTTGTCCATCTTTCTGTGAATGGTTTTCCTTCCACAGGCTGAAGAATTGTAGTTCTTCTTGCCTCTGCTGTCTTCCCTCTGGTGGAGGAGGTTATCTCGCTTTGTTTTACATTTTTTTAAGGCACTTATTTACTGTAGCAAAATGCCATTTTATGACATTTTTCCCTTAAATGTAATAAAACATGTGATTCATAACTGTCAGTGCGTTTTCTTAATTAAAGCTTTGCTAAAGATTATGGTCATGAGTAAAATCGCCTGTCATACTGCAGTTTTTGTTTTCACTATCCAAGCTCTTAAAATGAATTCCTCGTCTATTAGGAATTGTTTCCTTATAGATTAAGATATTAGAATAATATTCAAAGAAGTTGTATAGTGGCTCACCAGTGATGTTTGAAAAATGGATATGTGAAAATCACACACTTGTTCATGTATGTTTATATATACTTGGAGCCACTGGTAGCTTATTTTTCTTAGGTTTCATCTGCCTGAAAAAATTTTTTTAAATTAAAATTTCTTTATATTTTAATTTTTAGGTTGGCTTTGTTTTTCAGTCTTAGGTTTTTTCTAATGATATGCTAGGAGGGCGGTTTCCTCCATTTTGGCTGGAACATGGGAAAATGAAAATATTGTTTTCTTTTTTAAAAATAAATTTATTTATTTTATTTTTGGCTGCGTTGGGTCTTTATTGCTGTGCATGGGCTTTATCTAGTTGCAGTGAGCGGGGGCTACTCTTCGTTTTGGTGCACAGGCTTCTTATTGTGGTAGCTTCTCTTGTTGTGGAGCACGGGCTCTTAGGCCTGTGGGCTTCAGTAGTTGTGGCTAGCAGGCTCTAGAGCCCAGGCTCAATAGTTGCAGTGCATGGGCTTATTTGCTCTGCCGGGTGTGGGATATTCCCGGACTAGGGCTCGAACCCGTGTCCCCTGCATTGGCAGGCGGATTCTTAACTACTGCACTACCAGGGAAGTCCTGAGGTCATTTATTTAAATACACTTATCCGTAAACCTACAGTGAACATTTTTCTTTTTTTTGGTGGGGGGGCTGTGCCGCTCAGCCTGCAGTATCTTAGCTCCCCAACCAGGGATCGCACCTGTGCCGACTGCAGTGGAAGCATGGAGTCTTAACCACTGGGCCTCCAGGAAAGTCCCTGCAGTGAACATCTCATACTGACATCATTGTACCTTATGTTGATTACCAGATAATTTCTCAGAAATGAAATTGTTTCATTAAAAAGTATGTACATTTTATTTTACTTTTTAAAAATTTTTAAATTAAAAAATTTAAAGTTTTAAAAATTTTATTGGATTATAGTTGATTTACAATGTGTGTTAGTTTCAGGTGTACAGCAGAGTGATTCAGTTATATATATACACATATATTCTTTTTCAGATTCTTTTCTCATATAGGTTATCACAGAAGATTGAGTAGAGTTCCCTGTACTATACAGTAGGTCCTTATTGGTTATCTATCTTATAAAAAAGTACATATATTTTATTATTATTATTATTATTTTGGCCATGCGGCTTGCGGGATTTTAGTTTCCTGACCAGGTAATGAACCTGGGCCCTTGGCAGTGAGAACATGAAGGCCTAACCACTGGACTGCCAAGAAATTCCCCAAAAAGTATATACATTTTAAATGACAGATTACCCTTGAAAGATTCTACTGCTTAATACTCATTCCAACAGCATGAGAGAAATGTCCATTTATATAAGCTGGTCAATGCTTGGTATTCTCTGTTTTGTCAGAATGATAGGTGAAAACTGTTCTGTTTTACTTTACATTTCTTAGTACAGTTGAGTTAGCATTTCATATTTGGCCACTGGTATTTCGTTTTTGAATCATCTCTTTATTTTTTACTCAGATTTATTTATTTTTTTTTAAAGCTCAGTGTCATTCTTTTAACAGAAAAGGAGTGGGTTGATGAGGGTCTAAGAGTAGCGCAAAGGACTTCTTTATGTGGAACTTGGAATTAGACAGATGTGTTCACAGTTGGCATTGCACATCTGCATGTTCCCCTTCTCCCTCTCTTAGGGAGTCTGCCCTGTGAAGTTGACAGCATGAAGGAGCAGACCAGAATGCTTGCTTTTTGTGGACAGCTAGCTCCCAAAGAAAAGGGCAGAAAGGTGTTGGCTTTGCAAGTCAGTTCTTTTCCTAAACTCATTAATCAGGAAACTTACTGTTTCTGTGGGAGGAATTGGGACTTGGGAACAGGGATATTCCAGGAAAGTCTTCCTTTTAAAAAAGTAAATTAGGGGTTTCCCTGGTGGCACAGTGGTTAAGAATCTGCCTGCCAATGCAGGGGACATGGGTTCAATCCCTGGTCCGGGAAGATCCCACATGCCGCGGAGCAACTAAGCCCGTGCACCACAAGTACTGAGCCTGCTCGCCTAGAGCCCGTGCTCCACAACAAGAGAGCCACTGCAATGTGAAGCCCACGCACCACAACAAAGAGTAACACCTACTTGCCACAACTAGAGGAAGCCCGCGTGCAGCAGAGAAGACCCAACGCAGCCAAGAATAAATAAATAAATAAACAAACAAACATTTAAAAAAAAGTTATTAAAAAAAAAAGAAATCACTTTCCTATCCCAGCGTATCCAACCACATTGGCCAGCATAATTTGTCAAATAACTTTTAATGAGAATAAATTACAGTATTGATTGTGTACTTAATGATACTCAATCAATAAAATGTCAGAATTATAGAGGCCACAGAGTTAAATGTGCACTTTTTTCCCATTGTATTTCCTGAGGAGGTGTTAAAGTTGAGAGAGTAAAATTTAAACAAAAATCCAAAATTTTTGAGTTCAAAAGAATTTATTGAAATCAAAATCTCTCTCCCTTTTATTTTTTTAATTTGTTTAATATTTGTATTTTAAAGATTCTTTTTGATATGGACCCGTTTTTAAAGTCTTTATTGAATTTGTTACAATATTGCTTCAGTTTTATGTTTTGGTTTTTTGGCCAGGAGGCATGTGGGATCTCAGCTCCCTGACCAGGGATCGAACCCGTGACCCCTGCATTGGAGGGTGGATTCTTAATCACTGGACCACAAGGGAAGTCCCCTGATTTTAAAGCAATAGAAAGATTATTAACTCATGCTCAGATATTTTTTGGTTTGTAAATAACATTTAATATTGAAGTTAGAAAGTTTTATTTTTATGTGGTCAGAATAATTTTTAAAATTTCTGACATTAATTTTGTGATTATTAATGTCTAATTGATTTGTAATAAAACTCGCTTGTGTGGCCTATCCCTAAATACTTTTCAGTACATCAGGTAGTTTGTATAAGGCTGTGTTTTGTAACCACCAGGCACTTAATTTACTTGACTTAGCAATGTTTTGGGACATGTTTTCTACTTTGTTGAGGGAAAGGTCTTTCAAATGTTCTATACTGTATAACTTCCATACAATATACATGATATTTACAAAATATACCTCAGTCAAATTCTAATGTTCAAATATTGTTTTTGTTAAATTAGGTTTTTTCCTGCTTCCCTTTTTTTCCTATCTCTCCATATTTTTTTCTGTATCTCATTTTTGTTAGTGAAGTATTTATCCTTATGCACATTGACACATATGTATACACTTATATATGTGTCCCAAAAGTATAAAGAAGTATAAAGCAAATACCCATGTACTCACTATTCTGCTTTAGAAATAAAATTACTACAATATTCAAGATCCCTGTGTGCCCATCCTTGGTGATGTCTTCATCCTTCATCAGTCTTCCTTTCATGAAATCTTATTTGAATGTTTCTCGGTTTTAACTCAAAGATTACTTTGTTTTAGTCTATGAATTGGTCATTGCCACGATTTTTGGGATTCATGTTTTGCTAAATTACTGTGTGAAGATCGCTTCTATCTTTTATGGCTTGGATCTAGATACAGCCTATTACGGTTGCCAAACTTTGTTTTCTGACGACAAATAGTTTGAAGTCTTCTGATTTATTTTCTGCATGCTCCTTGATGCATGTGAATGTATTTATATGTATATATAATATATATAGAAAAATGTATTCCATTGGGAGTTGATTCACTAACTTTACTGTATTAAAACATGTTATATTGCTAATTTTTCCGTGTTACATTCTATTAGTGAACGGATTGGTCTATCAGTTCAGTGTAAGTAAACTTAATATTTTCTACATCTTGATTTGAACACTGAAGACCACTTTGAATCTACATTTGAAATGTAGTTGATTTCTTGTTAGGAATTTGAGTCTCAGAACTTTGAATTTTGTTGAGAATAATTATTCCACTGACTTAACTGAAATTGGTTTGTTATTCTGTTAACTATTTTGCATGATGTGGTTGTAAAAACAATTCCATGTTTTTTTGTTTTGTTTTGTTTTGTTTTAGAGCTCAGTTCCCCCCAGATTATAAAAGCAGGAAAACTCAAGACAAAGAAATCCAACAAGGTATGTCATGACAAGAAATAGTTTTTAACTATTTTGAAAGGAACTCCTCTTAGATTATTGTGTATTTTTCTCTTCTAAGTCTATCATTGATGTTAGTTTAAAGTTAATATACTAGAAAATTGTAACCTTTATCCAAATCCCCATATGCCTCTGTTATCCTGTCTCTATCAGTTTAGTCAAGGTCATTATTCATGCCACAAGTTGTATCGTAAGACATTCCTCTTGCTGTGTTCTGTTGTTTGGAGAAGGTTTTGCGTTATTTTTGCAAATGCCTGCATATAATTGAATGAGGGTGATTTTAAAAATTGCTTTCACTTTTAGAAAATATTTTTTCTACTTAAAATTTCTAAACTGCAGACATAACACTTATTTACCTCTTAGGCTAGTGATTTCAGCGATATATCGAACTGGCCAACACCAAGTGAATTAGTGAACACTGAAGTGAGTATTGTTTTAAGACTTCTTATTTTTTTTTTTTTAAATAAAGGGAAGGTATTCTCATTTTAACATGCTGAATTTATTTTACTTCAAATTTAGAGAATTGCATTAATAAAATACCCATTTTTCAGATACCTTGATTTCATTCATCACATTGCCTTCATCTGGTTATATTCTCAGGACCACACATTTGGAAAGGATGGGGTACCATGCTGTCAGCTTCACGTAATGCCTACAAATAGATTACTTTTTAATGTGTCTAAGTGAAGCCCATTTTGTGTTTCAGAATGTATTCTATATATGTTTTCTTTGAGTTACAGTCTTTTCAATGTGTTGAAGTCCTAACTCTCTATATACACATGCATATATATGCATATATATCATATCAAGAGATGTTCAGTAAATGGATTTTTAATTTATCTATGAAAGAAGTTCTAAAAGATGTTCTGAGATATTCTATCAAAAGTCTTTTTAGAGAAGTAGTATATATGGTATCTGGTTACGTGGTTTCATTTGACACTACATCTTGCTATTTGTAATTTGTGCAGAATTATTGGTGTGTAGTTTAAAAACTATAAACTATAACTAAAACTAGTTAACTATAACTATAAAGCAGCTTAGTTGTTGTATAAATGACATAATAAACTGCACATATATAAAGTGTACAGTTTGATACGCTTTAACCTATGAAACCTTTGCCACAAACAAGATAATGAACTTAATTTGTAATTCTTCCTGTCACATTCCACCCCCTCACCCCATCATCCCAGGCAACCACTGATAAGCTTTCTGTCACTTAGTTAATTTGCATTTTCTACAGTTTTTTTTTTTTTAATTGGAGTATAGTTGATTTACAAGGCATTTTCTACAATTTTATGTAAGTGGAGTCATACAGGATGCATCCTTTTTTTTTTCTGGCTTTCATTTAGCTTAATTATTTTGAGATTTATTTATGTTATACGTATTAGTAGTTCATTCCTTCTTATTTTCTGGATAGTACTCCATTGTATGGATATAACGCTGTCCATTCGCCTATTGGTGGACATTTGTGTTGATTCCAGTTTTTGGCTATTAAGAATAAAGCTGCTATATCAGGACTTCCCTGGTGGTGCAGTGGTTAAGAATCCACCTGCCAATGCAGGGGACACGGGTTCGAGCCCTGGTCCGGGAAGATCCCACATGCCGCGGAGCAACTAAGCCCGTGTGCCACAACTACTGAGCCTGCGCTCTAGAGTCCGCGTGCCACAGCTACTGAAGCCCGCGCGCCTAGAGCCCGTGCTCCACAGCAAGAGAAGCCACCGCAATGAGAAGCCTGCGCACCACAACAAAGAGTAGCCTCCGCTCGCCACAACTAGAGAAAGCCCGCGTGCAGCAACAAAGATGCAACGCAGTCAAAAATAAATTTATAAAAAGAAATAAAGCTGCTATATAAGCATTTATGTACAAAATTTTGCATGGAATAATGTTTTTCTTGGGAGTAGAATGGTTGGATTTTATGGTAGCTATTTATTTAACTTTTAAAACTACTAAACTTTTTATTCCACCAGCAGTGTATGAGAATTCTACTTATTCTGTAGCCTCACTAATACTCTATGTGGTCAGCCTTTTAATTTTAGTCAGTCTAGTAGGTGTATAGTGGTATCACACTATAGTTTTTAATTTGCATTTTTCTAATGATGTCAAGCACATTTTCATGTACATTTGTCATCACTATATCTTTTTGATGAAGTGTCTGTTCAACTCTAGCCCACATTTCAATTGTTTTCTTGTTACTGCATTGTAGAGTTCATTATATATTTTAGATACAAGTCCTTTTATCAAATACTTAGCAAATATTTTCTTCCAGTTTTTCAAATGACTTTTAACAGTGTCTTTTGTAAAGTAGTTTTTTATTTTTGATAAAAGTTGTCATTCTTTTTGCGATATTTAGGTAAGGTGTTACCACAGATTTTTGGATATGTTAGTGAAAATGTTCATGAAAATTATTTCATTCAGAAAACCTTTTTGCAGTGTCAGAGTGTCATCAGCCTAGGAAATAAGAAGCCGCAAAACAGAAAAGAAAGAGAAGACAAGGTTGAAAAGAGAAGTAACAGTGAAAGCAAAGAAAGCCGGGAAACAAAATTAGATGGTCCTGGTGAAAATGTCAGTGAGGATGAGGCTCAGTCAAGTAATCAACGAAAGAAAGGTTAGTTTGTTCACATCTTCATTTTGATTTTTAAGTTTTTGAAGAGAGTTGTAGTAATGAAGAATTGTATTTAATCAGTTGATTCCTGGTAGTCACCAGTTAGTAGCTTGGATTTCTTCAGGATACCATCTACAATGGTAACTGATTTTCTTTTATAGCATTTCTGAACTATGAGACTTTCCTCTCTACGTTTGACTTGTATTTTATGTAAGAATGGATTTAAATTCCACCGATAGAGGTGGGTGTAGATATATTCTTGGAAAGTTGTATGATAACTATTGTTTTTTAAATCTGCATTGGAACAGCTCCCTTTTTTTCAGGAAATTTTGAGAAAATATTTTTCTGAGACAAAATTGAGAACAATCTTGGTCAACTCTTTTTCCTCATTGCATTCCCCCATTACTCTTTGAAGGAAAAAAATACTGTCTTTACATCCTTTTCCATATTCTTTTAGGAACTTCTCATGTGTCTAGGGACAGATTATGATTTAATTGGTAAAAGCATATTCTCATTAAGTGTTCTGAGTCTCAATAAAAGTGTCTTCAGGGGTTTTTAGGCAGAAAAGTTCTTTAAACTGTCAGAAGGTCAGTAGCTGAGACAAAGTGAACTCTGGGGAGAGGGCAGGGGGTGCTAGTGGAGAGGTAGGAAAGGTCCATGTTATTCAGGGCTTTGGTAACTTGGAATTGGTATTTTAAGTACTGTGGGAAGCCATTGAAGCATTTTAATTCTTGGAGGTGATGGGGCATGGGAGGGGACATTTCATGATGAAGTAGTTGCCAGCCAACTTCTTTAATAATGGAACTAACAGCCTACCGTGTACTGAGCACTTACTTGAATTTTTTTTTTTTTTGATGACTATTACAACCCTTAGCTGCAGGGTAATCATGAGGCTCACTCGATATAGTATGCCAAGGGTAATTGCTCAGAAGTGGTGGCAGTAGGACAACCATGTGGTTGTTACAAAAAATTTCCCCATTTCTTGAATGCTTAATCACTAACCTTTTTCATGCTCCTTTGATGCATAAGTAGTCTTTTTGACTGTCTAGAAGTCATACAGGTAACAAGACCTATCCTGCTCTAAAATTTGTCTTCCTTGTTAGTTGCATCAATTAAAACTGATTAGCCAACACTAAAATGTGGGTGTTTGTAGTTAAAGTAATTTTATATAATCGGGTCATGAATTGACTCTCCTTAGAGCACACATGTTTATCTTTAAGTGCTTATTTATGCCCAAAGTATCTCATTGATAGAATTTACAGTATAAACTTTAAGGAGTTTTTAGATTCTTTCATATTCTCTTTTCCTTATCTGTCTGTAGTTTGCAGTATTAGTAGGAAATTAGTACACTAATATTCCCTTAATTACTTTGATAGTTTTTTCCTTTGCCCATGAGTCTGTTTTAGTTGAAATTAGTACACTAATATTCCCTTAATTACTTTGATAGTTTTTTCCTTTGCCCATGAGTCTTTTTGTTTTAGTTGAAATATATAGAAATGTTCAGGCAGAAGACTGAACATTTTGAAACCTTAACTATGGAATTCATGAATAGGTAACCTTCAGGATTTCACTATACTAAATATAACAATTAATTACACTATCACTTAGTCAACAAGAAGCTTTAAATTGCTTGTATCTCTTAAGAAGTTAGGAAAATGTGTAGTAGCTATACAAAGGTTTATCAAATGCAGTTAGACAGATTTTATACTTAAACTTTATTTTGAAAAAGCTCTTTCATTAGTAGTGATGCTGGATGAATTAATATTTGAGGCAGTGATTTGAAACTAAAAGTGTTTTGAATCACTGGTCAAACAGTTATCAGGTATACCCTGTTCTAAAGCCTAAGTATCAAGTATTAGATGGAAGTAGTATGTACACTTAATAATTTTTATGGCTTATTTGTCAGAATTAAACAGAAGAGTGTGCATTTCACTTAAAAGCAAAAGAATTCCAATGGTACTCTATCACTGGCTTTTCACTTGAGTTTTAGAAACTTATTATTTGCCCAAACAAGTTTATTAAAGAGCTGGGGGAGCAGAAGAAAATCATTTTGGTACTCTATAAGTAATCCCTTTAAGGACAAATTAAGTCTTTCATTTATTTAATTAAAATTTAGAGTCCTTTCACAATTGCAAAGCTTTAATGAAAATTGTGCATTGTCATTAAATGATTTTATTTTGTTTTCTTCAAGCTAATAAGCACAAGTGGGTACCACTCCACTTAGATGATGTAAGACCAGACAGTCAAGAAAGACCAGGGTCCCGGAATAGCTCAAGATGTCAACCTGAAGCAAATAAATCACATAACAATAGGAGAAATGACACACGAAGTAAGTAACATTCTAAGAGAAAAATGAGTCATCTAGTCTTAATCTTACTATTTTAACAACCATGTATAGTATAAACTATTTGAGAGTAAGTTGCAGACATTGTGCCCCTTTAACCCTAAATACCTTCAGAGTATGTATCATAAGATCAGTAATACACTGTGACTATCCACAGGCAGAATTTCTCAATAATGCCCTTTTACAGTTTTTTTCTCCTCTTTTCTGGGATCTAATCTGTGATCACACATTGCTTTTAGTTGTCTCTGTTAGTCTGGAATAATTCTTCTGCTTTTGTCTTTCATGACGTTGATTTTTTTCTGAAGGCTTTAAGACAGTAATGTGGTAGCTATACTTATACCTTTGGGTTTTCTGATGTTTCCTCATGATTGGATTTGGGTTATAAATTTTTGGCAGGAATACTGCAAAAGTTAAATGGTTTTCTTTGTAGTGTATAACCTGAAAACACATGTGGTATTGGTTTATCTTATTATTGGTGATATTAACTTTGAGCACTTGGTTAAGATGAGGTACTCCAGGTTTCTTTATTGTAAAGATACCCTTTTTCCCTTGGTAATTAACATGTAATTTGTGGAGAGAGACTTTGAGACTGTGGGAATACCCATTTTTTCATCAGACTTTTCATATGAGCTTCAGTTTCCATTGGTGATTTTTATTCTTGCCTGATTATTACCATGATGGTTGCAAATGCTGAATAGGTAATCTTCAGAATTTCACTATACTAGTATTTGTCTTACTGCATCATTCTTTCTATATTTATTAGCTGGCATTCCACTGTAAAGAACAACTTCCTATTATTAGTGTGGACTAAAGGCTTCTTATGTTTTCAGTGGTTGAAATTGTTATCATGATTGTTTAATTTAATGCTCAAATTGTCCCAGAGCTGGCTAGTGGAAGCCTCTTCTGGGTGGTTTCTGGATCATTCTTTAAAAAGTCAACTTTACTGAGTTAATAATTATATATATTAAAGTACACTGAAATTACTGTCAAGTCCCCTAACCACGAGTCTACTTTCTGTCAGATTTGATTTATCTTTTCAGAATTTCATATAAATTGAACTGTGTAATATAAATTATATCCTCTTGTGTTCTTTTGCTCAGCATAATGATTTTCACATTCATCAGTGTTGTTCCATATATCAGTAGTTTCTACCTCTTTATTGCATAATAGTTTTCTATTGAATGGATATTCTCCTTTATCCATTCATGTTGGTGAATATTTGGCTTGTTACCAGTTTTTGCCTGTTATGAGTAATGCCGCCATGAACATTTGTGTACAGACCTTTGTGTGGGCATATGTCTTAGATTCTCGGGTAAACATCTAGGAGTGGATTGCTAGGTGGTATGGTAAACGTGTGTGTGTGTATATTTTTTTGCTGTGCCATGCAGCATGCGGGATCTTAGTTCCCCGACTAAGGATTGAACCCATGCCCCCTGCAGTGAAAGCGTGGAGTCGTAACCACTGGACTGCCAAGGAAGTCCCCGGTAAATGTATATTTAACGTAATAAGAAATTGCCAAATGTTTCTTTTTTTAAAAAATTTATTTATTTATTTTATTTTTGGCTGTGTTGGGTCTTCGTTGCTGCGCACAGGCTTTCTTTAGTTGCGGATATGGGGCTACTCTTTGTTTTGGTCCGCAGGCTTCTCATGGCGGTGGCTTTCCTTTGTTGCGGAGCACGGGCTCTAGGCATGCCAGCTTCAGTAGTTGTGGTATGTGGACTCAGTAGTTGTGGCTTGCGGGCTGTATAGCGCAGACTCAGTAGTGGTGGCGCAAGGGCGTAGTTGCTCTGTGGCATGTGGGATCTTCCCGGACCAGGGCTCAAACCTGTGTCCCCTGCATTGGCAGACGGATTCTTAACCACTGTACCACCAGGGAAGTCCCACCAATGTTTCTTTCCTTTGCTATATGTTAGGTCATATGTCTTGTGGAATTTCCCATATTTTGGATTTGGCTAAATGCTTTATCGTGATACTCCTTAACATGTTCCTTTGTCTTTTCTAAGTGTAGCTGGCAATAATAACTAGAGGTTTGGTTAAGATCCAGTTTATTTTTGTTTTGGTAGGACTATTTCATAGTGTGTTTGTGTCAACGCAGTAGGAATAAAATGTCTAGGTGTCTTACTTTCAGATTGTGTTGTGGTTGAGTTGGTTAACAGGTGTTGTTAGCCTTATCCATCCACCATAAAGTGTCCCATCAGGGACTTCCCTGGTGGCTCAGTGGTTAAGAATCTGCCTGCCAATGCAGGGGACACGGGTTCGAGCCCTGGTCCAGGAAGATCCCACAGGCCGTGGAGCAGCTAAGCCCGTGCGCCACAACTACTGAGCCTGTGCTCTAGAGCCCGTGAGCCATAACTACTGAGCCCGCGTGCCACAACTGAAGCCTACATGCCCAGAGCCTGTGCTCTGCAACAAGAGAAGCCACCACAATGAGAAGCCCGTGCACTGCAACGAAGAGTAGCCCCTGCTCGCCACAACTAGACAAAGCCCATGCACAGCAAGAAAGACCCAACACAGCCAAAAATAAGTAAATAAAATTAATTAATTAAAAAAAATCATTCCCCAGGTACATTATTTTAGCAGGGTTTGTTCAAGTTTCAGAAAGAAGAGGCCAGGAGGATATGTGGAAGCAGTTGGCTGAGCATTTGTGTTTTTTGTTTGTTTGGTTTTTTTTGGCCACCCCACGCAGCTTGTGGGATCTTAGTTCCCCGAGCAGGGATTGAACCCGTGCCCTGGAGAGTGAAAGTGTTGAGTCCTAACCACTGGACCGCCAGGGAATTCCCTGAGCATTTGCGTTTATAGTTTTCTACTGAAATCTTTTAAGTCTGATAATTTTTAAGGCATATTGTCCTGTGAAAGCATTGTACAGTGAGTCCCTGTCTAATCACCATCCAGATTTAGTCACTCTGCTATCTATAATTCATACATCTGCTGAATCATTTGAAAGTACCTTGCAGATATCGTGGCACTTCAGCACTGATGTCCCAAGAAAATGGAGCATCTAAGAAAATCAACACTAATTCATTGTATCATCTAAAATCTAGTCAATGGTTATATTTACTCAATTGTCCACAAAATATGACTTTAAAATTCTAAAACTTGCTACTGGTATCTAGTGAGTAGAGACCAAGGATAATGCTAAACATCCTACAGTACCCAGGACAGCCTCCACACTAAAGAGTTATCTGGCTCAAAATGTCAGTTATGCCATGGTTGAAAAACCCTGGTCTCTGGGGTATACATACCTTTACTTATTTGATTGTTTCCAATTGTTTTTCAAAATTGAAATGTACTTGTTTTTATTCCAGCATTATACAAAAGTTCTGTCTTGGTCAACATTTGCTATTGGGAATTCCCTGGCGGTCCAGTGGTTGGGACTCTGTGCTTCCACTGCAGGACTGCAGAGGGTACAGGTTTGATCTCGATCCTTGGTCGGGGAACTAGGATCCTTCATGCTACAAAGTACAGCCAAAAAGGAAAAAACAAAACAGAAAAATAAAACAAAAAAATATTGATATTATGGGACCTTAAAATGTTTTTCAGACTGGGACAGATAAAAAAATACTCTTTCGTTGTCTTAATTTGCATTTCTCAAGGCCACTGAGGCTGAGCACCGTTTTTTTTATTGTCTATTTGCATTTCCTTGTTTGCCCTGCCAGTCTTTTAATGATTTTTTCCTATTTGGTTGCGGTGTGTGTGTGTGTGAGAGAGAGAGAGAGAGAGAGAGAGAGAGAGAGAGAGAGAATGCACGAGGGCATAAGAGACATTTGTATGAGTTCTATATGTATTCTGGATATAATTGCTATATTGTGCTGCAGATATCTTCTCCCAGTTTTCATTTCCTTTTTTCTTTAAAAGAAATGTCTTTTACTTAAATAGAAACACCCTTTACTTAAAAAAATTCCTATTTGTGAAAATAAGTATTGTGAAAATAAGTTTTTGTTTTTAGGAGTTTTATATAGTACAAAACTCAGTTGTCTTGGACCTTGTTAAATTTTTAACAGTACAGTTTTAGCAAACGATCTCATTATCTTTTTAGTATGTTACTTATCAGAATATCTTCTTTATATGTCAATACATAAGATGTCTTTTATGCCAGAGACATTTTGACAAATTCCTATGGAATCTCTTAAGTTTGTATCTTTCTGAAGAATGACTGGTTACTAATAACTAGTTACAAAGTGGGGAAGGGTGGTTACCACGTTTTCATAAAGATAATCATGTTTTCATAGTTGCAAATTGGAATGTATAAAAATATTTTTATTTTTAAAAAGGTTGGAGGCGTGAAAGAGAAAAGAGAGATGATCAAGATGAAGTTTCCAGTGTGAGAAGTGAGGGTGGTAATATCCAAGGTACCTTTAGAGGCCGAGGAAGAGGCCGAGGACGGGGAAGAGGACGAGGCAGAGGAAATCCTCGATGTGAGACTTGATTTTTTGTTTTGTTAAATTAGATGAACACTGAAAAAAGTGTGCAAGTCGTCTGTTTTTCCCACTATCCCATATACTGTTTTAACTGATTTTACGTGTCTGATAATAAAGATGGTTTTGTATTTGTTTGTTACCCCTTGAGATACTTCACTTTGGATTTTTCTTTATAGTAACTATTTCTTTTTTTTAGTTTTTCAATCTGTGATCATTTTTCTTTTTCTTTATTACATCAAGTGAACTTTGATTATTCATATGGTTATCAAGAACATGGTGAAAGGACTGGTCAACCATTTCAAACAGAACTTAATACCAGTATGATGTATTACTATGATGATGGTACAGGCGTACAGGTGTATCCTGTGGATGAAGCATTGCTTAAAGAGTATATTAAACGCCAAATGTAAGTCAATCAGACATAAAGAGATGGGGCAGGAAAATCCATTGCAATATCAAACTTTAACATCACTGATAATATAACACATTTTCTAAGCTGTTTATTAGTAAAGTTAGAACATGTTAATAGTATTTTATATTTTGTTTCTAGGAAATGTTAGTAGAGCATGTATAAAGTATTTTTAAAAATTTATTTTTGGTTCATGTTGTTATTTATATAAGACTCCTTTCTTGAGGTACTTCTCTACTTAAAGGATATTAGTTAAAATGTCACGGCATAATATGAATGATTAAATATAAGAATATAAAACTACTTCATATGTTTGAAATTGAACAAGTGAAATTTAGCTTATTTGCAAATAAATGTTTATATTAAAATTTGCAAATGAACATAAATGGCAAAAAATGGTGATATCTTCTGACTTTTTAACAGTTGGTTTCAGAATCATAAGTTTGTTTTTTAACTTTTAAGTTCTCTTTCTTTGTGACACATATTCAAAGGAGACTACCTAATCTTTTTTAGTTTTAGACTGTTTATTTTAGTTCTTATAATAGTTGTTTTCTGAATATTGAACTGGAAGTTTAGGAGAATATTAGTTTGTTGTATTATCTTTAAGCAAAAAATAACCCCTCTGCCTGTTAGTATTGTGTAGGATGTTCTGCATATTTATATAGTATGTTTATATAGTGGTGAGAAAAGTGTTTCCAAGTGATGTGCCTAACTAATTTACTGAAATTTGAACCTTTTTTTATCCTTATAAAGGGAAGGAAAAAGGCTATTTTTGAAAAGGCATAAGCATTTTTAGTTTTATTTATTTATTTATTAGTTTTTTGGCTTTGTTGGGTCTTTGTTGCTGTGCCCAAGCTTTCTCTTGTTGTGGTGAGCGGGGGCTACTCTTTGTTGCGGTGCGCGGGCTTCTCATTGCAGTGGCTTCTCTTGTTGCGGAGCACAGGCTCTAGGTGCGTGGGCTTCAGTAGTTGCGGCACGCGGGCTCAGTAGTTGTGGCTCGCGGGCTCTAGAGCACAGGCTTCATAGTTGTGGCGCACAGGCTTAGTTCTCCGCAGCATGTGGGATCTTCCCGGACCAGGGCTTGAACCTGTGTCCCCTGCATTGGCAGGCAGATTCTTAACCACTCCACCACCAGGGAAGCCCCATAATCATTTTTAAAACATCCACCTTTATTTTAAAAAGAAAATGGACCCTAGTCCATTAATAGAAAATAATATCTTCATCAGCCTTAACCAGGCATCTTCCTGGGATGCCTTCATGGTGGATTTGATTGGCTTACAATATGAAGCAAATTGTTTATTTTATTCTTGCTTCTTTTGTTACAATTGATGCAAACACTGAAGAAAAGGGCCTTTTTATGGGCAGAAAGTGCCTGGCATGTGGCTATCAACTTCAAAACACTATTCTTGTCTTCCTTTGTAACTCTTGCTGTCAGGTCCTTTCTGAGACCTGACAGTGGACATGCAGCTCCATGTCAGGATAATCGGCCTCCAATGTGCCGATTGTGAGGGAGGAGCATAGCTACTTCAGTGCTGACAAGATTTCTGATCATGCAGTGTAGAATCCAGAGCTTCTAAGGTAGGACATGATAATGTCCCCTAGGACACTGAACAAAGTATCAGACATGGCATTGGGCATGACTCCTTTTCTTGTTATTATTTAGCAGCAGAGTTTTTGGCAGATACTAGAGCACCAGGTTTAGAATGGCTCTTCACTGTTACTGTTCTCTGATTAGTGGACATCTGGATTTGAGGAGTCATGCTTTTGACTTTGTGTCTTTAAGGTTTCTCAAACATAGATAGGCTTATTCATTAGGGTTTGGATTTTCCTCTTTGAGAAGTTACTGAAAAACTTCTTGTACTTCAGGAATATTATGCTAAATATTTTGAAGTAGTTGGCTTAACTGTATTATGGATGGTTGAGTTCTTAAAATCATTTTAACTGAAAATGTATGTTAATAATTTGACATTTTTTATATCAGGATATTAAAAATGGAAGATCTTGATTATTTTTAACTGGGGCAGCCTCTTGGCATTCAGATTTAGACATAAGTATGTTTGCAGCCCGTTAGAAGTTTTAAAAAGTGTATACTATAGGTAGTAGTGATTTATGAATTTATTTAGATACTGTGTTTCTCACAGAGTACTAGATTAAAAAGGCATCTTACTAATTATTCAGAGAAGTTTTTGTCTAAGAACACTTTTGTGTTTAAATCACATGTCTTAATGTCTGAAAATTTCGAATTTATGCGTATGTATTATGTGCCTACTGCATTTTAGCCACTGTGAAAGGGCTTTTGAAGTGTAACAGAAAGCAGAACAGATGTATTCTGTGCCCACCACATGCCAGGCACTGTGAAAAGGGCTTTTGAGGCATAACAAAAATCAAAATGTTAATTTCTTCAAGACTTCAATTATTTTCTTTAGCGTTTAAGAAGAGTAAATGATTTATTAGTGTTACTGCGATGTCAGTTGAATTTCACTGATCTTAGGGAGCTTTGCACTTTGACAGTTGGATAAATATCAGAGTATAAAGAAGCAACTTGGGTATTTACATTTCTAAAATAAGACATTTTTCCCACCCAGTGAAAGGTAGCTCAAAGCCAGTTTTCAGTTGTAGGTGATTATTTCTTCAAAGTTAGAATTTGACCTAAATAATTCAACGGTATCTTGAGTTACCCAACCTTACTCCCAAATATGAGCTGGCGTGCTTTCTTATCATTTGCCACCCTTCTTTGAAAACTTGCTCTGTGATTTGGAAACAGTATAGGATTTTTAAACTGTAAGCCATATCATTTGATGTCATGTATTTCTTTTGTATTATTCTTTTCTACACTTCCCCCTATTTATCCTCTTCTGCTTTTCTAGAATCTTGTTCTCGTTTTTTTTTATATGCAGGCTGTAATTTAAATATGTGTTTCTCAAATGCCGTTATTATATGTTCTTCATATTATCTTTATATCTTGGAACTTGTAGTCGTTGATGATACAGTTTGTTCATTTACACATCTCTCTGTACTTTCCTAGAGAGAAGATTAAGGTGTATAAGTTGCTTCTGTATTTTTTTTTGCCCATATATATACCTCATGGTGTTGCAGATATTCTCTGTTTAACTGTATTCCGTTCACTTTTTTTTTTTTTTTTTTTTTTTTTTTGTGGTACGCGGGCCGCTCACTGTTGTGGCCTCTCCCGTTGCGGAGCACAGGCTCCGGACGCGCAGGCCCAGCGGCCATGGCTCATGGGCCCAGCCCCTCCGCGGCATGTGGGATCCTCCCGGACCGGGGCATGAACCCGCGTCCCCTGCATCAGCAGGCGGACTCCCAACCACTGCGCCACCAGGGAAGCCCTTCCGTTCACTTTTAACGTCTTTTATAGTTCTGCCTCTCAAAGGGGGGAGATAGTGAACCATTCAAATATAAAATTGTGTGCATCTGTGCCCACATATTCACTCAGTTTTTACTAAGCATTGTGCTGAATGCTAGGGTTCAGAAGTATTAAACAATGTCAGTACCCTGCCAATTTAGAAAACAAACTACTCTGTAAACTTGACATAGAATACTTCCAATATACCATTATTTTCAGTGATGGGAAAAAGTTGGAAGGCAGTCTGTTGATGTGTTTAACTTTGTTATTTAAATGAAGCAAGTTCAAGTAGCTTTGAAATGAAATTTTTCACTTAATTGACTCATTAAAAAGTTAATTATTGAACTGTTTTAAAGTATGGTTAATTGTTTATACCTGGGTAAAGCTGATCTAGCAAAGAAGTACGTTTTTGGGAAGATAGTATTCTAAATTTCTTTCTACCTGTGTAAGAGAAATTACTAACAGTAGGGTTTTGTTGTTATTATATTTACCCTATGTATGTTGTGTTAAATGTATATAATGTTATTAATAAATCAAAATAGTTTTATAACAATTGATATTATAAGCCATAGACATTTTAATATTCTGTTGAATAAATTGATGAAATTTATATTTACTTCTTTATTTCTTTTTTCAGTGAATATTACTTCAGTATAGAAAACTTGGAACGGGACTTCTTTCTTAGGAGAAAGATGGATGAGCAAGGTTTCTTGCCTATTTCCCTGATCGCTGGTTTCCACCGTGTTCAGGCCCTCACTACAAACCTTAATCTCATTTTAGAGGTAATTTTTCATACACAAAAACAGTCTGTACTTTAGTCATGCTGTGAACCTAAAACTGCTCTAAAAAATAAAGTCTATTAAACAATTTTAAGGAAAAAGCAAAAACAATCTGTAGTTACCTAAGGCTTAGACTATATCTCAAGGCTTTTTTGCCATTTTATAAAACCCAAATAAATGTCTGACCCCTCAAAGGATTACTTAATATTTCCACCTATTTTTAACCTGATCCTTCTTAGATGGGTTGAACCCCAACACAAACTTGAACACTCTTGGGTGTTCTTGGTCCTTTTAGTCTTCAGGTTGCTATAAAATAGCATGTATTAAATTATTAAATTTAAATTTTGAGAATTTTTCCTATATAAAGAAGGCTAATTTAAAATAGGCTTTCTAGTTGTGTTCTTGTTTTTTTGTTTTTAATAAATTTTATTTATTTAGTTTTGGCTGCACTGGGCCTTTGTTGCTGTGCGCGGGCTTTCTCTAGTTGCGGCGAGTGGGGGCTACTCTTTGTTGCGGTACGTGGGCTTCCCATTGTAGTGGCTTCTCTTGTTGTGGAGCACAGGCTCTAGGCGTGTGGGCTTCAGTAGTTGTAGCACGCAGGCTCAGTAGTTGTGGCGCATGGGCTTAGTTGCTCCGCAGCACGTGGGATCTTCCCGGACCAGGGCTTGAACCCATGTCCCCTGCATCGGCAGGTGGATTCTTAACCACTGTGCCACCAGGGAAGCCCGGGAAAGGATATTTAAAAAAAAAAACAAAAAACTTTTGCGTTACCATTATGGTTAGCATTATTAATACATAGTGACTGATTTTTTTTTTGTAGAGTTTATTTATTTATTTTTGGCTGTGTTGGGTCTTTGCTGCTCTGCATGGGCTTCCTCTAGTTGCGGTGAGCAGGAGCTACCCTTTCTTGTGATGCGTGGGCCTCTCATTGCGGTGGCTTCTCTTGTTGAGGAGAATGGGCTCTAGGTACGGGGGCTTTGGTAGCTGTGACACACAGACTCTAGAGTGCAGACTTAGTAATTGTGGCGCACAGGCTTAGTTGCTCTGCGGCACGCGGAATCTTCCCAGACCAGGGCTCGAACCTGTGTCCCCTGCGCTGGCAGGTTGACTCTTAACCACTGCGCCACCAGCGAAGTCACCACAGTGACTGATTTACAGTAAGAAATGCTACTACTGTGAAACATAGAAACACATAAGCATAGTGATTTAGAATAGCATAGGTCTGAACTCACTTAACATTCATTATGTACCTACCACTTATTACAGTGGGAAAGATGTCTTTTTTTCCCTTAAGAAGGTAAGGCTTCATTAGGCTTTGCAGTATAAACATACTGATTTAGAGCATGGACTTTAGAACCTGCATACATATCCTCCTAGCTCTGTGACTTCAGGCAGTGTCCTGTAAAGTGGAAATTGTTACAACAATACATACTTCATAGGGTTGTTATGAGTATGAAATGTGTAATGGCAGTGTCTGGCGTACACAGTAAGCTCTAAATAAGAATTTGCTGTTACTGTTAGTCTTCAAGGATATCCTTCTGTTGATTACTCCTTTTATCTTCATTTCATTTCTACCAGCTTTTTCCTATATGTATTTGAATATGCTTAAGTCTTAACTGTCTTGAAAAAACTATCAAAAGAAGCAAAATATATTTTAGCTAACACCCGTATCTGCTCTGGTTGAGTGTGTCTACACAGCTAAACTTACTGAATCTGTTTCCTCCTCTCCCATTTATTTTTCACCTTACTGCACTCTTTTTCTTTTTTTACTTTGATACATATGTATATTGTAATATGATGGCTATTGCAGTGTTATCACTTAACATAGTTATAGTACAATATAATAGAAATAATAGAAAATAATAGGAAAAAACCCCTCAGACACCCAGAAATGTTGACTGTATACTGTAGCTCATTGTTTAGGAGTTCAAGATAACCAAGATTTGGTTTTAGTAAAAATATGTCTAGATCTTCTCCTTAATTTGTGTATGCTGTGAGCCTTTTAAGTTTTGTTTTTTGGTTTTTTGTTGCGGTACACGGGCCTCTCACTGTTGTGGCCTCTCCCGTTGCGGGGCACAGGCTCCGGACGCGCAGGCTCAGCGGCCATGGCTCACGGGCCCAGCCGCTCCGCGGCATGTGGGATCTTCCCGGACCGGGGCACGAACCCGTGTCCCCTGCATTGGCAGGCGGACTCTCAACCACTGCGCCACCAGGAGTCTTTTAAGGCCTGAGTCACAACTTTCCCCCTTTCTGTTTTCTTTATTTTCTTCTTGAGTTTTTTTTTTTGTTCTTTTCAGTAGGGAATTAATTCCCTGTGATTCAAGATTCAAAGGGTATATAGTGAAAAATTTCCTTCTCATCTTTCACCAACAGTGAACTAGTTAAACCTTCCTTGGTATGGCAAGTAGTGTTACTTCTTTTTTGTGTATTCTTCCTGAGATAGTTCATGTTTTACTACATATACTGTTATACCCCTTCCTTTTATAAAAACAGCATATATTGGAAGATCATTCAATAGCTATATATAAAGAACTTTGAATTTTTTCCTGAAAATTTTTCTTTAAATTGAGACATAACTTATACATTGTATATTAGAAGTTATAAGATTAAGAATGACTTTCCCCTATGTACATACTTGTGTTACTGCTACATGGATTAAGATAGAACATTTTCAGCATCCCAGGGAGCTCCCTTGTACTCCCTCCTAGTCTGAATCACTGTTCTCCTCAAAGTAGTTGCTTTTCAGAGAGGTCCTTCATCTTGTTTTTTAAACATTACATAATCAAAGTTATTTGAAATCTTTTATATCTGACTTTTGCTTGTTATTTCTGTAAGGCTTATCCATGTTGTTGTTGTGTGTGGCAGTTGTTTATTTTTCATTTTGCAGTAGTATTCAATTGTATGAATATAACTCTTTTCAGGTTCCTTTTAATAGACATCTGGGTTCTTTACAGCTTGAATATGTGACTGTTGTGAACATTATTATTGTACATATTTTTGGATGGACATATGCACTTATTTTTCTGTGAAATTGATGGGTAACAGGTTATGTGCGTGTGTGTGTGTGTTTGTGTGTATACAAACATATATATATATACGAGCTTACCTTTGTAAATACTGCTAAACGTTTTTCCAAGATATTGAACCAATTAAAACTACTGCTGTTCAGAGTTTGACTTGCTTCACATACCAGCGAACACTGTTGGTGGTCTTTTTCCAAAACATTTTGAAAAACTTAAGCCCATAGCAAAGTTTTAAGGTGATTTTTCTTTTTCTTTTTAAAATTCAGGTGTAAATAACATGATGTAAAATTCAGGGCTACTAGGTGTTCATTTCGAGTTTTGAAAATTGTATAAGCCTGCTCCAAACAAGATATAGTTAATTACTCTAAAAACTTCCTTAGTGGCCCTTTGCAGTCAGTCCCCCATCCCCTCACCCTTTGCCCCGCCAAACCAAAGCATTTTTCTGATTCTGTTACCAGAGATTTATTTTGTCTTTTCTTTACATTTGTGTAAATAGAATTCTTCTGTCTCCTGGCTCTTTCATTTGTAGTTTTTGAAATTCATCCATGTTGTTGCAAGATCTGGATGCTGGGTATACTGCTTTGCTACTGGGGTGTCATTGCTTCTAGAACATTCAGTGGACAAAACTAGGAAAATACATTAAAAAAATACACATATCAGCAACTCAGACCCTTTACTGTAAGATTCTTCCTTATTTCCTTCATTCTATATTTCAGACTCTCTTCTCTTTCAGTGAGTATCCTGATTCCCATCAAAAGAGTTTGTTTTTAAATAATTTTAATACTAATTTTAAAGTAATGTCCAGTTACAGAAAATATACTTACTTGAGAAGTAAGTATGATACTAATATTAAGGGCATACAAATGTAAGATACTTAAAGTAATACATATAATGTGTTCTCCAACTAAAATATAGCGAGTTTTAATCTTTATAAGTTAACAGTTTGTATGTTGAGTTTTTATATTTGTATTTTTTCTAGTTTCTCAAGGTGTGAGTATCCTTGAATTTCAGGGAAGATTCAGATCAGTAAGGCTGTAATTTTTATTTGGAAGAAATTTTGTTCTAGTTTTATTTTATCCTTAAATTACAGCAAGGTGACGCAGGCCTCTCACTGTTGTGGCCTCTCCCGCTGCGGAGCACAGGCTCCGGACGCACAGGCTCAGCGGCCATGGCTCACGGGCCCAGCCGCTCCGCGGCATGTGGGATCCTCCCAGACCGGGGTACGAGCCCGTGTTCCCTGCATCGGCAGGTGGACTCTCAACCCCTGCGCCACCAGGGAAGCCCCAGCAAGCTATTTTTGAGAGCCACCATATCCTAGTGACTGAGGGTTCTCGTGTTGGACAGATAATAAATGGTTTGAGTCCTGGTATTGCCTCATACTATTGCCTTATACTAAGTCCATAACCTTTATCAAGTTACTTTATTTCTTTGAGCCTCAATTTCCTCATCTGTGAAACCTACTTTACACTTACAAGGTATTATGAGGAATCTCTGCATGTGTGTGTTTATTATTCAGTAATGGTGGTATTTATTACAATAATTAAATATAATGCCTAAATTTTATTTGGTGATATTAAGGGAAAACTAAAGGAGATAGGAGCGGAAAAAATTGTCAATAAAAAATTATAGTAGTATGCTTCAAGTTGATGCAGTACTCCTTAATTGAAAATTTGTTTTTCACAATTAGAATAATTTGCTACATGTTAAATCAGGATATTTGTTACTTTACAGGGGCAAATTATTTTAAAATCTGTTCTGTTCATGGATATTCTGAGAATATTCTGAGATATTCTGAGAATACATTAACTGTAATACCCTATGCTGATTTCAGACTTAAAAAATGTTTAGGTTATTAGAAGTATAGGAGGTACAATTAAATTTTTTGAATGAATGTTCTTTAATAACTCAAAATTCCTATTTATAGGCACTGAAAGATAGCACAGAAGTGGAAATTGTGGACGAGAAAATGAGAAAAAAGATAGAACCAGAAAAATGGCCAATTCCGGGCCCTCCTCCACGTAGTGTGCCACAAACAGACTTCTCTCAACTGATTGATTGCCCAGAGTTTGTACCAGGCCAAACCTTTGGTTCACATACAGGTAACAGCTTTTCTTCTAGAGCAAACAGCATAACAGTGGGCTATTTAGTCCAATTTACCTTTCCTTTTTAAAGTTTATATAGATTCAATAGAAAATTAAAGATAACCCAGTGACTTATGATGCTTTAAATTCTATTCATATTGCCTCCCGCAGAAAGTTATAAATTAAATAGGGATTTAAGAATTATGGGAGGAGCTCTGCTGTATTTATTCTTATTTGTCTACTTTGTCACATGTGGAGTTTCTACCTATCTTCTTAATTTTACTAAATGATTATAGATGTATTCCGCCAGTTTTCCCCTTGTAAGATTGGAATAGTCTAAAAGTCTTATACTCAAGAGTGGGGGTAGCCTTCCTTTAATTTTTTTCTTATGTGCTTCAACTTTGTCTTGAAATGACAAGATGACCTATATTCTAAATCAGAATTGGGGATCTCTTATGAAGTTATTGTAATTATATATTAAGGAATTAGTGGTATTTAGAATTTCCAAAACTTGCTTTAATGTTAAGAATTTTTTCCTGGATCATTTTTAAGACATTCCCTCTTGGGAAAAAATATGTGTGCTTAAACTTTTTTCAGTCAGGGTGATGATCTACTGATGCTCTTGGATGTCATTTGATCGGAATATGCAGAGGAATAGGTGACTCACTGAAATATCATTATAAACATTGGAACAAATCGTCTGCAGAAATGAAAGCGACCAGACTTCTGTGCAAGAATGTCTACTCCCAACTCCTGTGGAGGAGGTTGGGCCAACACTACAGTGGAGATAAACACCTTTGTGATGATGATGAAAGACAGACCAGAGGACTGCTGTTGTTTTATAGGAGCTGCCCATTTGTTTGTAATTAGCCTGGGCTGCATGTGCTACTTTTGTTCACGGTGGGAAAGTTAATTGTCATTCTGGAAATATTGCAAGATTCTGTCTTTTCCTTCCAGACTTATGTACTTGTGTCCAGATCAATAAAGCAGAAATAGAGAGGCTTGAGTGGAATTTCTCAGATTGTTAGGTCTTTTGCTATTTGATTTGCTCTTCACAGTATAGTGTACATTGTATAATTCACGTGTTGTCGTAGTGTTTCTCATGGACTATAAGATTTATTAATGTGGACACTAAGGGATAAGAAACTTAAGAAACGAATGAGAGTATTTTTTTTTTTACTCTTCAGAATGTATTTTTGATATAACAGTGTAGAGACCTCCCATCAATAAAGCACTGATGGACAGTCTCACAGATATTTTTATTTAGTGTTTCTTTGATTGTCAGCCCTCTGTGCCTCTACACCTAGCAAGCAACTTGGGCAGGTGTTTTAAAAGTTGAAGAACTTCAAGTGACATTTTTTAAGTTTTTTTTAAAAAAGAATACAATGTCTGATGGTAAGTTAGATTAAGTTATTGTGTAAACTTGGGGTCCAAGATGATATTTTTAACCGTCTTATGAAGAGGCATTCGGTCAATTGTTAAATAGAAAATACTTTTTCCACAGGGTAGCTAAGATAGGTCAGTCAAGTTGGTGATGCCTGTCCATTAACCATTTATGCATTATTAATAAAATTACAAGAATAAAATCACAATGTTTGTACATTTTTGTGTTTTTTTTTAAAATACTCATTTACATGCACATACATATTGCCTGAACGAACTTTTTGGCCAACCCAATATAAGCACATGTATTGTGAATATTGTGAAACATACAACTTCATGGTAGAAACATTATTCAAGCTTAAAGAGCAATTAGAGATGATTATATCATAAACTTAAGTAGGTATTTAAAAATTCAATTTCTGTGTTAAAAATAGTAGATACTAATTTCTCTACCTTGTGCCAGATACTGTTCTAATCGTGTATACATGAACTATACATACTAATTTAGTTAATTCTCCCAGTTACTAGTGGTGGTTCCTAGTCTACTTTTAAAGCTTTATTTACTGCATGAACAGAGATGATTCATAGTATTAGGAATAGGGTTCTCTAGAGTTAATGTTTTTTTCATTCCTATAACTTCAGTATTAATACTGACAGCCCAAGCCTTTTCACTCGTACTAATTTTTTGGATCAATTGATGACATGTACCATTAAGTTGTAGAGCAGCAGTGTCCAATAGAAATATTACGTTTGCCACACATGTAATCCTAATAATTTTTAATAGCATTAAAAGCTGTAAAACAAATGAAATTACTTTTAATATACCCAAATATTATGACATTAATATAAAAATTATGGACCAATGTTATTTTTGTACCAAGTGTTTGAAATCTGCTGTGTATTTTACACTTATCCTGAACACATTTCAGCACTAGCCACATTTCAAGTGCTTTGTAGCTCCACAAGGCTAGTGGCTATTTTATTGAACAGTGAGGTTTTAGAGCGTTTTCTGTTATGAATCATTATACTTCTTTTTAAAGCAATATAGTAATCTAGTTGTTGAAGCCTGGATCTGTGTGTCCATGGAGAAGATAATAAATCCATCTGATTCTCGTATGTAGTAGATGAAAGTAAAATCTTGGAATACTCTCTCAGACTCACTCCTGGAATGTGCCTTTGCATTTTCATTTAGTAAGTTAGGATTGTTGGTGTTCATTTATTTCAACTTTCTCTCTGTAGTATTCAACTTTGCAATATTTTCAGGGAATTGGCTTTGAGAAGTAAATAATGTTTAGAAGTTTACAGTATAAATTTGTTTTTAAAACACTTTTTGTCCAAAGCAAGTTCATATTGCGTTATAACTTAAATAATTCTTCGACTTCTGAAAAACAATTTATAAAGGAATTGATTTGTATTTTATAGAGCATATAATTACTTTGATTAAAAGTGTGGAGAAAGGCATTTTTAATTCCAGCAGAGTTGTAAAATGTTTTGTTATTACCAGGACATTGCACTTTAATGACATGACATTCTAGTCTTCACAGTATTCACTGCGAGCCAAGGGCCAAACTGCATTTATTTAGGTAAACCTTGTTAGGCAAAGGAGATGAGAAATGTATGAGTATTGGCCGCCTTAGTATAGATCCTAGCAGAACAATGAAGGATTGATTTTGCCTTGAATAAAATACGAATTTTATTTGCTTAGTAGCATTTAAGATTCCCTAATTTCATTACAATTAATGAATCTAAGGTTTCACAGAGAATTGACTCCCAAATAGATGTATTGTCATAATTAGTAAGTGACTTGCATTGATATTCTTTAGAAGTTTGAATGAATGTGTCTGCATAAGGGTTGATAACATTCTTGTTATTATTCATTGGCTTCACTCGAATACATCTTACAAACCCCTTTGGGTTTGAAAATCATTGAAAGATTATAATTGAGATTGATTTATCATGTTTTTGTGAAGAAAGAAAATGCCCAAGTAAAGAAAAAATGTTTGTTATAAGTAAGAAAACCATTATTTTAACTATAGAACTAACTTAAAATTTTAGAGTCTGCCCCAAATTCTCCAAGAATTGGAAGTCCACTGAGCCCAAAGAAAAACACTGAAACAAGTAATCTTCAAGCAATGTCTAGAGGTTTGTCTGCCAGTTTGCCCGACTTGGACTCAGAACCTTGGATAGAAGTAAAAAAGAGACATTGTCCATCCCCAGTGAAATTGAAGGTAAGTTGTTATGACCCAAGTGAAGTGTGATATATCTTATTTAGAAATTAAAAAAAAAATTTTATTTTATTTTTGGCTGTGTTGGGTCTTCGTTGCTGTGTGTGGGCTTTCTCTAGTTGCGTTGAGTGGGGGCTGCTCTTTGTTGCGGTGCACGGGCTTCTCAATGTGGTGACGTCTCTTGTTGCGGAGCTCAGGCTAGGGCTAGGCGTGTGGGCTAGCACGTGGGCTAGGCGCGTGGGCTCAGTAGTTGTGGCTTGCAGGCTCTAGAGCACAGGCTCAGTCGTTGTGGTGCATGGGCTTAGTTGCTCTGCGGCATGTGGGATCTTCCCAGACCAGGGCTCAAACCCGTGTCCCCTGCATTGGCAGGCGGATTCTTAACCACTGCGCCAGCAGGGAAGTCCGAAGTGTGATGAATTCTGAGTGGAGTGTAAGGCCACTGTTTTTGAGGTACATATATAAATTTGGAAAAGTTTTAAGAAAAATGGTAAAAATTGGAACCATTGCCCTTCAGTAAAGCTTATGGGTTACTAAGTAGTTGAAAATAAATAATATTGTATCATTTTTTAAAATTTATCTTATTTCTGAATATGATTTAAGAATATTTCGCTTTAACCTTTTTTACTTGAAATTAGTTTATATTTGAATAATATTTCAGTTTTTTTTTTAAATTTTTTTGTGGTTTTTTTTGGTACGCAGACCTCTCACTGTTGTGGCCTCTCCTGCTGCGGAGCACAGGCTCCGGACGCGCAGGCTCAGCGGCCATGGCTCACGGGCCCAGCCGCTCCGCGGCATGTGGGATCTTCCTGGACCGGGGCACGAACCCGTGTCCCCTGCATCGGCAGGCGGATTCTCAACCACTGCGCCACCAGGGAAGCCCCCCTATTTTGATTGCTGTCACATAGTCCTTTCCTGCTCTTTGTACCTACCATCTTAAAACTTTTTAGGACCCCAGTGGGATTAATGGTGTCTGCCTTCTCTGTAGCCTTCCTTTTTTTTTTTTTTATAAATAAATATTTATTTAGGCTGTGCCGGGTCTTAATTGCGGCACACGGGATCTTCGCTGCAGCATGTGGGATCTTTTTAATTGCAGCATGCGCACTTTTTAGTTGCGGCATGTGAACTCTTAGTTGCGGCACGCGTGTGGGATCTAGTTCCCCGACCAGGAATCAAACCTGGGCCCCCTGCGTTGAGAGTGCAGAGTCTTACCCACTGAACCACCAGGGAAGTCCCAGCCTTCCTTGATATGGGTTTTAGATTTCTATTTCCTCTAGTCATGTTTAGTATTAATATAATTCCATTTGCTTTCTGCTTTCCAGAAAATTATAAAAATTTCTGATCTTCTGATAGTTATACTTGTTTTCTCATTGGCAAATTATGGTATTAATATAATTGTGAGGTAAAAAGCTTTGAGACTAGGGAAGATCGTTGAATCTGGAAGTCAGAAGACCCTGGTTGTTCTGGGAATTCCCAGTGGTTAGGGCTCTGTGCTTCCACTGCAAGGGGTGTGGGTTCAATCCCTGGTTGGGGAAGTAGGATCCCGCATGACATGCAGCACGGCCAAAAAGAAAAAAAAAGTCCTTGGTTGTTCTAGTCCGGACTAATTCTGCAATTGTGGACAAACAGCGTCACATCTCTAGGCCTTTTTTTTCCCTCATCTGTAAAACAAGTTGGTACTAAGGACCATTCTAACTCTAAAGGAGTCTTTAATATAATCCTTCTTTTTTCAGCTTTGTGGGTTTTTTTAATCTTAAACTGATTGTTTAGCAGTTACTTTATATTTATTGGCTTGGAATAATACTGGTGTGATTTTCTTTTACAGTTTGACTGCTAATCTAGTTATTGAGCATACAGTTCTTTTTTTTTTTTTTTTTTTTTTTTTTTGCGGTACGCGGGTGTCTCACTGTTGTGGCCTCTCCCATTGTGGAGCACAGGCTCCGGATGCGCAGGCTCAGCGACCATGGCTCACGGGCCCAGCCGCTCCACGGCATGTGGGATCTTCCCGAACCGGGACACGAACCCGTGTCCCCTGCATCGGCAGGCAGACTCTCAACCACTGCGCCACCAGGGAAGCCCGAGCATACAGTTTTGATATTACTTACATTAACATTGTTATGTGACATTATTGTAAAAGTGATAACAATGTTTTTGTATAAAATACCAATTTCTTCCTTCAGGAATCACCACCTCCACCTGAAGAGGCATCAAATCAACCATATCTTCCAGATGAACAAGAACAAGAAGAACTTGATTTTTTATTTGATGAAGAGATGGAACAAATAGAAGGGCAAAAAAACACATTTACTGATTGGTCTGATAATGATTCAGATTATGAAATTGATGACCAGGATTTAAATAAGATTTTGATTGTAACTCAGACACCACCTTACATGAGAAAACATCCTGGAGGAGATCGAACAGGCAAGCACATATCTCGGGCAAAAATTACATCTGAACTTGCTAAAGTTATCAATGATGGCTTATATTATTATGAGCAGGATTTGTGGATGGAAGAAGATGAAAACAAACACACAGCCGTAAAGGTAATTGTTTCTTATCAACATCTTTCTGTTGATACTATGTTTTGATGGCACGTTGCTGCTTATGTTTTCCTAAACTTGAGGGTTTATTTTATGAAATTTTGAATATAAATAAATTATATTTAATTTGAAAAATTCCTGGAAATATATCTGATATTCACAATCTGAAAAATTATTTTATTAAAATGACAGTGAGATAAGTACTTTAATTACAAAAATAAATATTAACACTCACTGATTAAAAACCCTTTTTTCAGGTGAAAATAATAAGAAGGCCTTTTCTCATAAGAAGGAATAAAATCTAAAGTTATGGGCAGGCTTAGTTTATATGCTTTTTCCTTTCCTGGCTAATCACCTAGCTATGTGAGCAGGGCTTCACAAAGGAGTTACTTTTGTTGCCCCTTGTGTCCTTCTCACCTTAGTCTGCAGTGCATGTTCTGTGGTTGTAGAACTGGTTGTTGACAAGTATAGAAGATTAAACTGGCTGATTCTCTCTCCTTGTCCAATCATAACTTTGTTGCTGGGAGTGGTGTTTGAAACCTTGTTCCAATTTTTTATCTTCTTGCGTTTCACCCCACCTCCTGGTACCTATCCCAGTTATTAAGGTACAGTAAGAGAGTGCCAGAGTAGTCTACTGGCTATCTGCATTCCTTTTATATGACTTTTAATGGTATAGATAGGAATTTAAAAGGATCTTTTTCTGCCATTAAATTGATCAGAACACCCCCCCAAATTAAATATTTGTTTTAGGGATAGAATAATGAGGGAAGAGTTATATAAGTATAATATGCCAAATAGGAAAGAGATCTTGGTCAGAAATACAGTTTTAGAAAGGAAAGCCAGCCAACTTGTGGTTGGAAAGAAGGGGCTGGCTGTCTGTGGAGCTCCATAGCATCAATAAGTGTGCTTTCCTTCTTGAGTCTTCATTTCTTTTCTTCCTGGAATTTCTCCATCACTGCTTTTACCCTCTTCTCTAGCCCCTGCCTTTCTGGAGATCCTGCCTCAGGATATGGTAGCTTGTCAGTGACTTAGAGCCTGAGCAGTTCTCTCTGTCCTACTGCTATGGGAAAGGAAGTGTGTTTTTATAAAGTTTCTTGGTTGAAAGTCTTTCCTTGTGTAAGGGTTGTTACTTTGTTTGTGATACTTAAGTTCTATAAGTAACATCTAACTTAAATCCTTTTGGGAACAAAAAGAGATAGAAAATAAACTAATAATAGGTTAAAATTGCACTACCTCCATTCCCTATCCCTCTGCCCTGCTTTGTTCTTCACCATCTACCATTCTGTATATTGCACTTACTACTTTTCTGTTTCCATCTCATGAATGTAAGATCTATGAGGATAGGGATTTTTGTCTTATTTTGTACACTGCTGCATCTCCAGCTACAACAGTTCCTGGCACAAAGTAGTGCTCAATTCATATTTGTTAAAATGGATAAATGAATTACAGATTAAACATTATGAACTAACTGGGGGAACCTAACCTCTGTGTATAATATTGGTTCTGTGGGAAAATATTTTCAGAGTGCCAAATAACGAACTTTCAAGTCACCTTGAGAAACATATCCTGTTGATAGATGATTATTTGCTTTAACGTGTAGACAACAATAATTAAATTTAATTAATTCATCTATTGCCTTAGCCATTAAATATTAGTCCGGGGAAAGTAATCTTGGCTATATGGCTCTTAAGCATTATGGGTCTGCTCGTAATTATGTCTTATCTGATCCCTGTGTACACTCCTGTTACTTATTTCCTTTGCTTCTAATTCTGTGCTCAACATATAATTTCTCATTAGAATTGTACTTTTTCTGAGAGTCTGTTTAGAGGGAGAGGAATCAATTATTTAATATATATTAAACTCCTACTGTTTCTGTGACACTGTGTTAGGTCCTGGGCGTGGAAGGGGAAGATAACAGTAGGATCTCTACATGCCTGGTTCTTACAAATAATTGGGGTGATAGACATTAAAATAAGCTGCAATAAGTACTTGATCACAAATTATGATAAGTGTGAAAAGAACAAGATGCTATTGGATTAGGCTATAAGAGAATGCCTGTGAGAAAGTCACAGTTATAGTGAGATAGGAACTATGAGTAAGAATGAACCATACAAATAACAGATAAACCATATTTTAGGAAAAGGGACTAGCAGGTGTAAGGATCTGAGATGGGAAAGAATTTGGTATATTTGAGGAACTGAAAAAAGGTCTGTTGATAGTGTTTATGTAAGAGAACAGTTATAGATATATAGACATGCATCTGATCTTAGAAGGTAACATGTGGGCCATGTTAAATAGTTTGGAACTTACCTAAAGTTCAGATGCAGTACCTTGAAGAATTTTATACAGGCCAACAGGATGTGATCTAATTTTTATTTTTAAAATATCACTAGTTACTATGGCAGAGAACAGATTAGATGGGGACAAGAGTGGCAGAAGAAATCCAGTTGGGAGGCTATTAAAGTAGTCCAGGAGATGTATGTTGGTAATTTAAGATAAATTGGTAGCAGAGGAAATGTAGAATTTAGAAGACCCAGGTCTGAGCCCTGAGGAGTGATCATTTAGGAGTTGTATAGGAAACTGGTGTGGAAGCCAAACACTGTCTTCAAGAGGAAAGAATAGTCAGATGTGTCAGAAGCCGGACAGATTGAGTTTAGGTATAAATGAAAAGAATGCCAAATTGGTAGGGTTGTTTGTTGATCATTTCTGACTTTGTAAAGGAAGTTTTGCTGAATCCAGAAGCTGTGTTGAACTGTACCAAAGAGTAGGTGTAGGCCTTCTGTTTCTGACATGTCCTTATTACTGAAGACAACTAAAATGGCCTTTTAATAAATGAGAAAATATCTACTTAAAATCCTTGAAGATCTACAAGGTAAGTTATTATCAGAATAAAACCATAGAGAAGTAGAGTGTTGAAACCAGTTTTGCCTGGGAGATCATTTTGGAATTTGGGTAGTTTGAGAAGTTCAGCTTTGCAAAAGCCACCCAAAATATAGGGGTAAAAGACAAACCCATGGCCCAGTCAGTCAGGGATTCCAACAGGAGTCCTTTTCCCATTGAATTGGTACCTAAGGAAAATACCCTAGGGAAAGAGAACTTAACTGCTTTCTCATCTTCGCCTCTGTGGGACCACAAAGCGTATTTCCTTAGTTGTGCTAAGCAGAATAAGGAGAAAAAAATTGGCTTAGAAGTTATAATCATGCAACCCAAATTCACACTATATGGGTGACTAGAGTAACTACTAGTCATAAATTTAAAGTGATTGTGGCCTGTTTATTTCCCAGAAATTAGCAGAAGCAAATCTGACTTTTTTGTGAAGACATTCACCTTTATCCTAGGCCTCAAAGAATTTACTCAAATTATTTTGTAATGAAAGTGAACAGCTTGGGCTTCCCTGGTTAAGAAACTGCCTGCCAGTGCAGGGGACACGGGTTTGAGCCCTGGTCCGGGAAGATCCCACATGCCATGGAGCAACTAAGCCCGTGAACCACAACTACTGAGCCTGTGCTCTAGAGCCTGTGAGCCACAGCATCTGAGCCCACGTGCCACAACTACTGAAGCCTGTGTGCCTAGAGCCTGTGCTCCACAACAAGAGAAGCCATCACAATAAGAAGCCCACACACTGCAACGAAGAGTAGCCCCTGCTCGCTGCAGCTAGAGAAAGCCCAAGCACAGCAACAAAGACCCAATGCAGCCAAAAGTAAATAAATAAATTAATTAATTTAAAAAAAAAAAGAAAAGAAAGTGAGCAGCTCACAAAGTTAATAAGCAAACAAGGAAATAAGGTACTGCATGTGAGAATGAGCAAAAGTAACAGACAGTAAGACCATACCCTGAAAAATTTTAGATAGTAGGATTATTAAACATAGTATAGAGTAACTTTGCTTACTGTGTTTAAAGAAAAATATCTGCAGGGAAAAATAAATTCTAAAGAATAACCTTTCTAGAACTTCTGGAATAAAAACAGTTAAGGCTGAAATTAAGAACTCAGTTAATTGAAGGGATTAACAGCAGATTAGATACAATTAAAGAATCAGTGAATTGGAAGACAGTTTACAAGAAGCTATTCAGAAATCAGCATAGAGAGATAAAGAGATAGAATATATGAAAGAATGGTATTGTAGACAATCTTTGATATTATTTGGTGTATTTCAAATCAAGTTGTATAATTTAACATCTAGTGGATTTTATTATAAATCTTTTTATTTTTGAGAAAAGTAAAAAGCAAGTGGAATATAGAGTGATAAACATGGTCTAAGATAGATATTTATTCAGAGTTCCAGAAGGAAAAGAGAGAAAATGGGACAGAGTCAGTATTTTAATAGGTAATACCTAGGACTTTTTCTGACCTGCAGAGAGGTACCAGAGTAGAGCAGCCAGGGAAGAAAGGCGGTTACTTTCAAAGAAAGAAGAGTGACTGGACAGCTGATAGCTGACATCTCACCAGTAACATTTGAATGCAACAGACAATGGAACAATGGTGTTAATATAACACGGGAAAATAACTACCAACCTATAATTGTGTGCCTTGCAAAAGTATCTTTCAAGTAAGAGAGTGACATATAATGAGAGGAATTGCAGTTCATCAAAGGAATTTCCAAAATTGGAATAAAAGTGATTCCAGGTGCCAGAAATACAGAAAGGAGTATAGAGCAAAGCAAGTGATAAATATGTGAATAAATCTGAATAAATATTAACTGTATAAAACAATAACTGTGTCTCACAGATCTAATATAACATTAACACAAACTGGGAGAGAGCAATGAATGAATCGTATTTAAAGGTACTTTTGTGTTTGGAAAGAACATAATTGATTAGTTTTAGAAGTTTTCATTTTGCCGTTTGAACGACACCCATTTAAAAATAAGATTAGGGGCTTCCCTGGTGGCGCAGTGGTTGAGAGTCCGCCTGCCGATGCAGGGGACACGGGTGCGTGCCCCGGTCCAGGAAGATCCCACATGCCGCGGAGGGGCTGGGCCCATGAGCCATTGCCGCTGAGCCTG